CTGGTTCATAGATAACTGTCTTCTTGATGTGTCCTCGTGTGGTGAAAGGGGTGAGAGAGCTTTCTGGGGTCTGCTTTTTAAGGGCACTAATCTCATTCATGAGAGCTCCACCCTCATGACCAATCTCTTCCCAAAGGCCACATCCCCAAATGCCACCACCCTGGGGGTTAGGTTTCAACAGAAGAATTTTGTGTTCATTCAATGGGCAAATATTCAGTCCTTAGGAGCATGGTTAATATACATTTGGCACTAAGGAATGCCTTGTCATTTGGTCACTTGGTGACAAGCTGTACCTTCCCTTCCTTCTGCCACATCTTCCTCCTAGCTACTGTCTGTGATAGTATGAGAGAGGAGGAAGAGTAGAAGGTGGGCAGGGAAAGCCAGGTCCCTTGTCAGATTTCTCTTTTCTATACAAAGCGGGGTCCAGATCCACCATGCAGTTGTGAGGTCTGACCATGGAATCAAGGCGTCACTTTCAAGGTGGGATAGATAGAGTGAGGAGGCAAGCCAAGGGGTTGAATTGAGAGCACCTTAAGGAGAGCCCAAACACCAAAGCCTGGGTGACTATCCAGTAGGCCAACAATTTGGATGGTCCCAGCCAAGAGGGAAACTGTGAATATAGGCCACCGGCCCAGAGGCCAAGAAGAGGAAACTCGAGAGAGACCCTCCCGAGAGCAGGTTTTGTGGTAGCTCTCAGGGATCTCCTGTGGGGGGGAGCTCTGGAGGATACAGAGGGGCACTCTTCAAAAGTGTTGCCAATCCACCATGGACAGGAGAGAAAAGGGCAGAGTGGAAGCTTCTATATTTCTGGAGCCATGAGGGGTACCCTGATCAGGAGTTGTGTATTTTTGTCCCCTGTCCAGCCTTAAATGCAGACACCTCCAGAAAACTTAGCCAGGGGCCTGGAGGAGGGCCTCCTTCAGTCTCAAAGTCAAGCTGAAATTGGCTTCCACAACCTTACCATCTCCCCCTGACAAAGGCCCCTGAAGGGCACCCAGCCATCAGGAGTCCACTCCTCTGGTTACTTTCAGCAAGTCATGTGTCTGGGGCCAGAACTCTGAAGACAAACTGGCTTATGAAACATAGTGACAAATCACAGTTCTTGCCCGGGAGAATGGTTGAGACTGGCCAGACTTGCCATGCAAAGGCAGAATCAATGATGAAATCCTTCAGCAGGAAGCAAAACTTGCCTTCCTGCTCTCTTCACTCTAGAACACCCAAATCTGTTTCCTTCCAGGTCATAATAGGAAGAAATGAAATCTGGTTCACATATCCTTTGTAGGATGGTGTTTCCTTCTGTGTCCAAGCCACAGATCTCCACACCGGGAGGCACACACACACATGGGCCTGTATGCCCTGCACATATGAAGACCAGGGAAGGCATTCTTCTCTCCCGGAAATTAGAAAATGTTGGCTCATTGATTTTCTGAGGAATATTTTCATGTTGGTGTTTTTTTTTAATGAATTGCCACAGTCTGGACAATGAGAGATGTATTCTAGCTCCTGTTAACATGGCCCCTCTGGGCCTGAGTTTCCTCAGTTTAAAGGAGACCTTCAGATCACTCAGAGTTCTGACATCCTTTGTTCTTAGCACCAACCTGCCAGTTGAGCAGGATGACACCACCTGGGCTTGGAGCTGGAGTGTTTTATTTTCACTATGGAGGGAGGAGAATAAATAGGACAAGTGCCTCTAAAAAACTCATGACTTAAAATACTTGACTGAGTTGAAAGGCTGTTTCTGTCTGTGCACCTACAGGAGCTAGTTAATTCTGGTAAACTCAATAGAGAAAGCATTGACCTACTGCTTATCCTGGAAAATCAATTATGTGACGTGCTTGCATCTTTTAATTTGAGAATCATGAACTCTTGTGATGAATTTTCTACTACCACCAATTTACTTATTCTGCCTTCTCAGTTCTCACTGCCCTGTCTTCCTGTGGCATTCAAAGAAAACATCATTGTCAGCTCACATGAATACTTTATTCATTGTTGGTGGGGGGGCAGTCTAGAGCTACAGGGAACCCTGGTTTTGTTTAGAATTAGCTTCAAAGACATCTCTTTTGAAAAAATGTGGCATCATTTCTCATGTAAGGAGGCAGGAAGGCTAAGTTTGATGGAATCAGGGAGTGAAGTCAATCAAAGGGGAAAAAAAAAAGGGCAACTTGTAAACCTCCTCTGCTACTAAACAAAGCAGGCACCTGGCCAGCGTCAGTCAGGCTTGGTGGATACAAGACAGACAGCTCACAAACTGCTCCTTCCTTCCAAACTGCCCCACCTGCCTCCACAGCTGCCAGGGTTCCTGATACCACCTTACACCCCTGTCTCCTTCCTCTACCCTCTGAGCAGGCACTTGGCATGACTGCTCTCCACACACTGTCAGGGAGCACAGTACTTCCTGTCCCCTCTCTTGGTGTCCCTCTGCCCCGGCCTGTCACATTTCATGTGTCTGGTCCATGCCAAATCTGACACAACACTAAGGGTTTCTTTTTCATTTGCACAGTAATCTTGGAAAATATGATGACTTGTAATTGTCTTTTTTTATCTGAGGCCCTGTGGTTTGAGGCCAGGTCGCTGGGGGAACGGCCTCAGCAAGAGGAGGCTCATGCGAAATTGGTTAGAAAAATGTTCCAACAACTGAGAGTGAGGAAGCCGTTCAGGGGGTGGGCATGGTTGGGGCTGGGCTGGGAAGAATTGGGCCAGAGGGTGTTGGCAGTTTCGTGCATAAGAAATGGCTCTGATCCGGAGGTAAAGGAAGGTTAATTGGCAGGATTTCAATGATAAGTTCATTCAGTAAACGCATATCTGTCCCCAGTCTAATTTCTACAAAGACAGAGAAGAGAAGGAGCGGAAAGGAGCCAGGGTAGAGAACTGGAGGGGGCTGGCAACAGGGGAGAGAGCAGTAAGCCCTGGGAATGGAACACATTGGACTGGTGGAGGGCCTGCCCCCATGCGGAGGGGACCTTGCAGTATCCTTCTTTCTTTATTTTTATAATGAAGTTTGGATGCATGTAGACAGTACAGAAAAATATTAAGGAAGCACACATATGCACTCAAAATCCTACAAGAGATCAGCATTATAGATTTCTGTCTTTCCAGTCTTTTTCACATTCTGAATGCATTGTAACAGAGTTGAGCTCATACTCTAGCTGCAATTTGATACCCTTTTTACCCTCCTTAATGTTAACATACCACAGTTCCTTGTGCTTTTGTAGACTCTGTGTGGTTTATGGCCGCGAGATGGTTTGTCTGTGGATGCCCTCTGGCAGCATGGCCACTGCACAGGGGTTAAGAGCATGCCTACAGGGCAGGTAGACCTGGCCTGGACTCTTGGCCCCCTGTCCCATTTATGAGCCTGGTGACTTTGGGAAATGACTTCATCTCTTGCAGCCTCAATTATAACAACTGAAAAATGGGCATGATAATATCACTCCTTACAGAGTTGTCATGAGGCTTGGATGAGATGGTGCCTACTGATTCTCTCCATTTGTGAAACCACCTCCTCCTAAGAGGGAAGTAATAGTATTATCTCCATTTTACAGATGAGAGCTTTCATCTAGGTGAGGTCACTTGCCCAGGGTCCACGGGTAAAAATGGAAAGAGCCAAGCTGTGTAATGATGGCCACATTCGGAAGCCCCACCTCTTGCCCACCATGTTATACTCTTACTTGGGGTCACTTGGCCAAATCACCCCACTCATAGAGCAGAGCTGAAATTTCATATCCAGAGCCTGCATGCTGTGATGCTCCCTGAGATAGTTCTTTGTGGGTCTCATATTCTGTAGGTTTTACTGAAAACCATCTCTTCCTGTGCCCTGGTACTGCATCAGGAACTGGGAGGCACAGGTGGGTTGGGCTGAGAATGGTTGGGCTGGTCACAGCAGTACTTTTTCAGCATGCAGAAGAGTCTGTGGACCTTTTTCTAAAATCACAAGTATTTGATAGCCAGAGAGGGTCAGAAGAAGTATCAGCAGCAACATGGATTATATGCTCAAACCTTCCCCAAGTCCATCTTTCCTTAATGATGTATTTTCAAAAACTATTCATTTACTTCTTTATTTGGCTGGTCTGGGTCTTGGTTGTGGCATGCAGAATCATTTTAGTTGTCACGTGTGGGATCTAGTTCCCTGACCAGAGAGCAAACCCAGGCCCCCTGCATTGGGAGCACAGAGTCTTAGCCACTGGACCACCAGGGAAGTCTCCCTTAATGACGTTGATAATGAGATGGTTCTCTCCTTGCCTTTGGCTCCCTTCTCCCCCGTCCAAGAATGGCATCCAAGAATTCTGCCCTGGCTGGACTCTCAACCCCAGGACATTTGCCAAGTCCAGCCCGACTGCCTCCCTCCTACAGCCAGTCCTGGGTGAGCCAGGAGATGCCATTGATTGCATTGCTGCTCATCCCCCTCTAGAATGATAGGGCGTGAGAGAAAAAGAAATACCAGCTGATAGGCAAAGAAACTCCATTCCAGTGTCCAGGGCATGACTGGTCTGTGGGGGACCTTCGCAGCCTTGAGGTGAAAAGGGGCAAAAGGCATAGAACCCTGCCCAGACGCAGGGGCCCCTCAGCCTGTGTTTTGTCGCAGGTCCCACAGCCAGAGCCCATCTAATTTAGAGCCATTCCCAGTGACTCCTTCTGAATCGCTTGGTTATTCAGCAGATTAAATCTTAATTGCAAATGCGGTTTCAGCGTAGGAGTACCATTGTGCTTGCTGATTTCAGGCCATTTTTGCTGAGCCGTGCTTTTCCAGAAGGCTGTTACAAATTTAGAAAGGGGGAAATGGTATTTCATTTGTCCATCAGAGCTTTGTTTTGCAGACTGGATTTATTTTAGTGTTTGTTTAAAGGTGCCAAAACCTGACATCCCTGGAGAGAGAATTGCTCAATTTTTTGGAGAGCTTCTCTGGACTGTCCAAGCTACATCTAGAAAACACTGTCTGTGGTCCTTATGTGAGAGGCTGGGCTTGCCAACAATCTCATGTGGTATCATTTTCATTAATTTTTCAGAGACCCAAGAAGCCACCTCCTCCCTCGGCTCCCGTGATCAAGCAAGGGGCAGGTAATGTACCTCTCACTTCTGTCAACACACTATCTTTCTGTTTCTGTATGTTTACAGCATCCTGGGTAAGCTCAAGAGCTTTAGATTCAAAGGCCACAGATGACCAAATTGGAAAGTAACGATTTGGTCTCGGACAGGCAGGTTTTAAATACACTCCTGTTTTTCCTAAACAAGCAAATGTATCATTAAAATGTATCCCCAATACAGCAACGACAGCGACAGAATCTAGCTTTCAAAGAGAATGACTGGAAAGACTTTGTTTTGGAATCAACCAGCTTTGTTTGCTTTTTTTAAAAAATTAAAATAAACCACTTTTGTGGCCAGAAGAACTAGTTGTGTGCTTTGCCCGTGTCTGCCCGTTGAGGGTCAGCCTGGGAAGAACTGCTTCACATGGGTCATGGCGTCTCTGTGCATGGATGGCAGTGCTGAATTTTCAGTTTCTGTCCTGTGTGGTTAACCAAAATTTGTACTTAACTTCACTTGCCCCCAACAACAAAAAAGTGTTTTTTTCTAGCAATACTTTCCCTCATGACTCTTTTCTCATCTGGAAAAGAGTCCAATTAATTCACTCCTTCTGCATGGTTCAGATGTTAAGGTTGAATAATATAGGAAGACTTGACGTTGTTCAACACTTGGTAACTCATTGTACACTGACATCTCATACATAAAGATGAGCATTCCTAGTTCCCAGAAGAACTGCTGTTTAACATGGTTTAGAAACACAGTTTAGGGAGAAATTCCTCCATGAATAGCTAGTTAAGTGGCATTTAAAAAAATTAACTCAAACTGAAGAAGAGCAGGGGTGTTTTTAATTCTATAGTTACAATAGTTCTAACATAGCATTTAAAGTATGAATACATTTCCCGATTGGTTTATTCAGCCCATTTGTTAGGAGTGATTTTTTTCTTCTGGCCCATCCTGTTGGGGGTAAAAATCAGCTTGACCTCACATTCCTTTCCCATTCCCTTTGGCATAGTTGAGAATTATAGAGATTAAGCCCCAAAATGGGATGTTAATTACATCTCCTGCTCAGCCCCCATCCTTGTTTGTGTTGAGCAGTTTAATTTTGCCACCTAGTGGTTCTGGCTGAATAAATATTTTATTTTGCTGAGATGAAAGCAGGCTCTTGATTGGCTATTTTCTGAAGACCCTTTTCCCTAGACGCCTGAGTGCCAGGTTATGGAGACCAAGGAGGTGAGTTGAGTGGTCCCAGGCTCAGGTGGCCTGGAATGTCATTAGGGTTGGATTCTTCATGGCAATAGGACTGTCCATTCCTCCTGTGTCTCTCAGAATGGTACTGAACTTCATCAGCCTTAGGAGACCAGATTGTAGCATGGTAGGCAAAGTCTTATCCTTTTAAAACAGTTCTACCAAAGATGGTACTGGATCTCTAGGGTTAAAGCATGATTGGCATTTAATCTTCCTAGATGACTACTACTGTTTTTCTTATCCTCCTGCATAATCTTGGATGCTGCTTTGTGACAGGGACATAGATATTCCTCTTTTCCTTCTCATCAAATTTCTTTGTGTTTGGTTATTTGACTATAAAAAAAATCACATACAGAACGGATAGAAATCAGATCCAGTGTTTAATTTGTAGTGAGTCATTAAAGAGATTAGGTATAGTGTGTGTTTAGGGGACTCATTAAGTTCTTTTGGCTTCTTGTGCCGTGTGATTGAGATTTTAGTACCAAGCACCCATCTATAGGGTTGGTCATATAAGGGATTTGTCAATCACTCAAACAAGTCCATAAATCAGAGGAGTACTTGTGATGGGTTTCATGATTTAGCTATTTTCCAAGTGTTCTTATGAACCTGAGGGCACTGACGATGTGAAGACCCCAGGTGAGGGAGCAGCTACAGTCCATGTGCATGAAGAGGAAGTGTAAATTGTCACATTTGGGAAAATGTGGTACTTGAGGAATTCAGATGCAAAGGACCTAGGGAAAACCACCTATTTTTTCGTTATATCCCACCACTTAAAGGTATGTTCAACAGGCCCAGACAACAGTTATAAAATAAGTCAGAGGGATGTAATATACAGCACAAGGAATATAGTCAATATTTTAATAACATTATATGGGGTGTAGTGTATAAAAATATTAAATCACTGTGTTGTACACCTGAAACTATTGGATTGGCCAAAAGATTCATTGAAGTTTTTCCATAAGATGTTACAGGAAAACCCAAATGAACTTTTTGCCCAACCCAATAATATAATATTGTAAGTTAACTAAACTTCAATTTAAAAAAGAATGCTTCAATTTAAAAAAGAATGCATGTTCTAGTTACCATTGCTGCATAACAAACCACTCCAAATTAGGTGGCATAAAACAATGATCGTCTTATGTCTGTGGATTTGTTTATTGATTTATACATATTCCCTACCCAGGCCACATGGTCTCCTGTGTCTACTTTGATGCCAAAGGAAGTCAGATTTAAACATCAATAAATAGTAGTGGTGTTCTTGTACATTAAGGATGTATAGGTAGGCAGAGTTAATGACATGTGGCAGAAGTGGCTTCTGCTCTGTTTTTAAGCAGCGTGTGTTTGCCAGATAACACCAGCCCTCAGATTAGGGGGCAAAAAAATCTGTTGACTTTGCTGTACCTGATAAATATTTTAAATGCTAGTGCATCTAATAAATGGATAGGAAAACATTTGCTAATAATTGTTATCCTCCCCCTGCCCAGGTACCACTGAAAGAAAACATGAAATTAAAAAGATACCTCCTGAAAGACCAGAAACGCTTCCAAACAGAACAGAAGAGAAAGGTATGAAATCATGTCTTCATTGGCACTTCCAGAACAGCAGGGGACAGATCTGTCTGTCACAGGGCTACTCCAGAGTACCCACAGAATTTTCTTTTTCTTTGGAATATGGTGATTATGGTTTTGTCTTGATCGCTTTTAAATTTCCTGTGTCTAAGGAAATAGGAGAGAGGGTGATTGTGGTGCTTCTTTGGGCCAGCATTTCTCACCAAATGAAAAACACCCAGCCTAGTCATTTAACACATTGGAGCTCTTTCATCCCAGTCTTCTTGCAGTTACTGCCTTCCCCACACCAGTAGCAACCCAAAATCAGGATGCTGAGTGTAAGTCCCCAGAGGGCACAGATGTACCTGCCACGTTTTCTGACTAGCTTAGTGCCCCAGGTGCTCATTACCTGCTGATGAGTGAGTATGGCTTAGAGAAATTCCCATCCAGACAAATGAAAGCTGTCAGTCATTGCTGGGCTTTTGACTCTGGCTACTGTATTATAGACACATGTCCCTGGTCAGGAATGTTGAGGATGGGGTTGGCATGGCCAAACTGGGAGAAGCAGCCCAGTGCCCACAGTCCCCTTAAGGGGGTCAAAAATGATCATTTTCAGGGAAGTACCCTAACCTGCATCACACAGTCAGTTTTATGGCTGGGTTTGACTTCTACAGCCTGAGTGTCCCTCCCAAAGAAATCTGTATGCTGTGGAAGGACTGATTTTATTAGTTGTCTCAAATTTGATTGATCACACATTTTATGGGGAAAGTGTTAAGTTATTAACAGGAGGCAGAGCAAATTCCATTTTAAAAAGCAGTTATTTGTAAGTCACAAGAGAAATGCTGAATTAATGCACACAATTATTTGGAGGTGCTCCTGGGTGGCCTCATGAAGCTTTACTGTGAAATGTAATATTTTATATCAGTGTGCCACAAGTTTTACCAACACTGCAAGTTCTTAAGAAGTTATACATCTTTCTTTCAGAGTGAAGAGTTAAAACTTGAGTTGTAGAAACTCACTGTGAAGGCCAGGTCTGCATCACAGATCAATGAAAATACGCATCATCCAAATAGCTCTTTAATAGAAGTATGCATGTTGTGACAGCTAAACACTGCCTCTGTCCTCATAGAGGACATGTGGCTGGTTTTGGGCTTCTCGCCAGGCTCTGTGTTGAGGACACTGCCTGCTCTGTTCCATGCTGACTAGCATATGGCCTTGGCTTACGTGTGAACAGCCACCCTAATTGGCTGGCCAAATGGCCACACACTTCTGCTTCCTTCCCCTCTCATGATGCCTTGCTGTAGGCCACAGTGGGTCAGGGTGCAGACGCTCTGGTCAAAAACAACAGGGAAGCTGGTGAACCAGCCCCACCTTGAGACTCGACCTCCCTAGTAGGTGGGCATGAACCCTCTCTTCTATTCGTTCTGTAGGCTGCCGGAGCACCCGTCACTCCCAGCAGGTAGAATCTCCGCTCCTTTGTATTTTAGCAAAGCCCTTCTTCCTCTGGTCCCTGCGGACCAGGAAGAGAGTTCCTAAGCAATCCAGGATAGAGCACATTCCCTTACTGAACTCTTGTGGGGCTGAGCACAGTGATGTCTGTATCATACCTGACGGGCTTTTTAAAGCTTTGCCAGTTGTCCACATCGTCCAAACAACATGAGTTTGTGTCTGCAAGTAACACGTGTTCAGGGTTCTAGCTTCCGAGTGGACATAGCAATGCTGCTGGTCCCCCAACGGGCAGATCTCTGAAGCCCCGTCTTTACAGAGAAGCATGTGGGTGCGTGCTCTTCATAGCATGCACAGGGCAAGGTGAATCTGGGACAGAATACACAAAGCTGCCACCAAACCCTGCCCAGTTTGGCTGTAACTTCATTCTAATAGCTATGAAGCCCCAAACCCTTGGAAACTGATTACCTATGAAGTCCCAGTTTACCTTGCAAGGTGAAACTGTGCACAGAGAGAATCCAGACTCTGTCATTGTTTTCTGAAATGCTCCCCTGTTATTGGCTCCTGGCACTCTACCCAGGCTGACCTGGGAGGAGACAGGCCTTTTTCCTCCCCACATCCAACAGGTCCCCTGGTCATTGACCAAACCCATCAGCCATTTACCAGGTGCATGTTCAGTGCCAGGCCCCATGCAGGTCCTAGACAGGTGACCAAATGTGGGCCCTGCCCTTGGGGGCTGGCAGCCTACTGGCTGGGCCAAGCATACAGACACCCAGAAAGTATTCAAGTGGAGCTTGTTTATAAAGGGCTGTCCCTCATGGCTCAGGAAAGGGAGTAGTAGGAAAGTGTGCCTCTGAGGGTGGGTCCAGCTGTTGAGAAGGGAACATGATGGTGCAACATTTAAGCCTGGGAAAATGTGAGTTGGCCCAATGAAGTGTGAGTGGGAGTTTTCCAAGGCTGGGCAGGGACCGGGAGGACCCTCGGGCAGAGGAACCAGCATGAGTAAAGGTGAGCAGTGACCTGTGATTCTCTAGGACTTTTTCTAACTTGACCAAGAACAGATGATGCTCTTTGCTTCCATCCTCACCTTGGCACACAGCATCAGTGATTTTTCTTTTTTTAAAGCAAGAAGCACACAGTCTCCAATACTGTCCCTTACATGAGTTCTCTCTGTCTTCCTTATGCTTCCTTAAACAATGACTTAAAGAAAGACCAGAGAGAGAGCCAAAACTGGATTTACAGAAGCCTTCTGTTCCTGCCATACCGCCCAAAAAGCCACGGCCACCCAAGACCAATTCTCTCAGCAGACCAGGCGCGCTACCCCCGAGGAGGCCAGAGCGGCCCGTGGGTCCCCTGACCCACACCAGGTACTGCACTGCTCTTGATGCCGAGGGTGGGAGTGGGGTGGGGCAATCAAAGGACACTGGACTGCTGTGCTCGGGCGGAAGTGGGAGCGAGGTTGGGAGGTGCAGCCTGGGTTTCAGGATTACGGATGAGAATCCAGGTCCTGGCATCTTGGCCCTGCTCACGTGTGGGAATTCCCCTCTGCACCCTTAGAGCAAGGCCAGCTGCCCTTCAGACCGGAAGTGCTAGGGGTGGCCTGCCTGCCTTCACCCCTGGAGGTCCTCTCACTGGCTGCTCCATCCCTGAGCCTCTCCCTGCTCTGTGGCACCTCCCTCCACACTCCCAGGCTCCCTCTGCCCTTGCCTACACAGTCACATTGTGGGCCCCAGGACCTCGTCTAGCAAAGATTGTCTTAGTGTCTGTCTGTGGACTGTGAGACCCTCAAAGGCAAGGGGCATGCTTCATTCAGGCATGAGTTCTGAGACGGGCCCGGCAAAACTAAGATGTGTTCTGCTGCTGACTACTAGTGATATGATGAGATCAGAGCTGGACATTGTGCCTTCCAGACCTGAGATGCCTACCACAAGGAACAAGGGAGTGTTGCATTCTCTCCACAAGTTCATTCCTGGAACTTTCTACTGTTACTTGCATATTCTACATGTTGATGTGATATACTGGAGCAAGTCGGTGGCTTAGAGTTCTTTATGTGGACCTGTCAACACATGGTCACTCACCAAATTTTTGTTCTTGTGAGCTAAGTTTGCACATGAAGAATCTCACAGGGCTTCGGTGCCCTTGTGCTGGAGTCAGGCAGGCTTCCGGGCTCATGTCATGGGAAGAGGGGGAGCCTCAGCAGGTCACTGCCCCTCACCCCTCACTCTCCCTGTCTGTAGATTACGGGGATCTTGGAACACATTTGAAAGGATGGAAGGATATAATTCCCAAGTATGTAGCCCTAGGGCTGTAAATCAGTGTCACTTCCATTGTCATATTTATGATTGTGTATCAAACTGGAACAAAAATAGCTCACTTTACATTTTAGAAAAGGTTCAATTGTTGTGAAATACACATAACACATGATTATCTCAGGTGTGTGAGCCCATTGGAGGAGCGGCTGGCTCACCCATGACATTTGGCAGGTGTCCCCCGAGGTCCAGTGAAACAACTGCCCCCTATGATGGCCTGGGGGGAAACTAATGGGACCAGGGCCACTGTTGAGTTGGTCAGGCTCCTACATGTTGTGTCCTCTTCTGCCAACTGACATGCACACCATGAGGCCACTTGACAGCCACAGTGACCTGAGCAAGGGCTGCTTCAGTAGCGTGGTTGGCCCAGGGCTCGCACTTCAGAAGGAAAAGGTTATGTGAACGTTAAGTGCTTCTGAAGAGAATATGCACTCCACACCCAGGGACGGTGGAACAGCAGAGGTCATACATCACTTTGTGGTGGTGAAAGGAGAACAGAAGCCACGCTCTGCCAAATTCTTACAGCCTTCTAGGGACCACAGGCATTTCAATGAAGTCAATAACGATTTCCAGAATATTCCTGCCAATCTCTAATGATCTGATCTGAAGAGAAGTGCAATTCCAGTAGCTTCTGCACCTTCGAAGGTTGCTCTCAATTGTCTTGTTAGGAGATAGGTGTGGGCCTTGTGAGCCATCAATTAGACCTGCAGGGAAAGTGGGCCTGAATGATAATTACCAGTCCTCTGGGCTCACAGAGGCCCCACTTCCCTGCTGCCTCTGCTTAGCTCTTCCCTCCCTCCTAGCTCTTGCAACCTCTAGTTGTGGGTCAGAAGGACGAGCCACTGAGGAAGATGCATGAGAGAGGTTTAGACAGAGGCTGGTGGGAAGCGTAGCTTTTGTTCACATCATGTGTGAGGTCTGAGCAGCCTGGGAGAGAGTGGATGGGCATCCCCCGACCTTCCAAACCCACAGGGCGCTGGGTTGCAGAAAGGAGGGAGCAGGAAGCAAGCCCCAGGCTTCCTTTCTGCCAGCCCCAGAAAGTGACAGAGCCAGACAAGGAGGACCTGGTACCTGCTCTGGCCCCATGCTCAGCCAGTTGGAGGGAGAACAGTGCCTGCTCCCACTTGGTGGTTCTCATACTTGAGTGTGCATCAGGGTCACCTGGAGAACTTGTTCAGACACATTTCTGGGTGCCACCCCACAGATGTGGTTGGTCTAGGAGAGGTCTGGGAATTGACATCCCTAACAAACTCCCTGGTGATGCCGTGCTGCCAGCCCACATCCACACTGTGAGAACCTCTGATCTACATTCTCCTGGGTTTTTGATGGTGCCTCCGTCCTCCCCTGATGCCTCTCATACACCCATTAGTGCTCCCCAGCTGCCCAGTTAGCATGCCCCTCTTCTGGAAGCCTTCCCTCATCCCTCACAGTTGCTCTCTCCTCGAAACGCCTGACACCCCATGTGGAGCCTGGTGCAGGGCCCCCTGCTCTGCCACTTGGGATGTTCACACCCCCGGACTCCTTCCCCAGATTTAAAGCGGATCAAGAGTGTGTTTTGTCATCTCCACATGCTTTACAGGGCTGAGCATATGGTAGTGGCTCATTTAATACACTTGTTGAATGCCCTGGTTCTGAAAAAGGGGGGAGGTGCCAGTGCTTTCATTTTGTTCATTTTGGCTCTCCTGTAGAAGCTCCGTAGCGCTCATGTCTGATGTTCCAGGTCACCTTGCATGCCATGGATTTCAACATAACAAAATTTAAGAAGATTGAAGAAAGGCTTACTGTTTCTCAGTATCTCACACACTTCATATTTTTTGCTAAGCAGTTATGTTAGACAACCAACCCATACTGGTTTATGAACTTGTCTTGCTCTGCCAAATGAGTTGACTCAGGGATGTTCACGTCAAGTAGTTTTGTGTTGGCAGTCCTCCAGAGAAGGGGTATTGTCTGCTGTGCAAACCCAAATCCTTGCTGGGATTTACCTGACGGGATGGGTGGACGGGCGGATGGGTGAACACATGGATGCACAATCACCATTTGCTGTTCTTACTGAGAATGAGACATGAAGCGTTGCCTGCCACTCCAGCTGCAGTGTCTGGGCTTAGCTGCTTCTTACCCACCAGAAAGCTCGCCACCAAATGTGGCTTCCAGAAGAGATCAATTTCCTTCTATTTAAACAGGAACTAGCACCGTTTAGAAAAAGGAAGACATAAGTTCAGTTAGAAAGGAGTCATTTTTAGATGCTTTCACTTAACAGAAATGGACTGAGGGACGTCTGTGTACCAGATTACGGGCTTCAGGAATCTCATCTAAGGGAACTAGGACACCAGCGTGATTTGGAGTCCATCTGAGCAAGTAGCAGTATGCCATTAACATACTTACTTCTAAACAGTAAATGTAGGTATAAACAGAAAAAAGAGACTTTAAAAAAAATCAATAACAGAGTTAATTTACAAATTGAATGATGATAGGAGATCCCCCTGGGTCCTAAGTGCCTCCTTTGTTTGAAAGTCTGTGCTTTGGGGCTGTGGCAGTTATTATCTCACAGCATGAAAAGGGTGTCTGCTAGTCACATCCAGCCCACCATGTAACTAAGGCAGTCATCCAAAGAGCACTCTGCCTACATCTATCTTCATACCTGAAACAAGCCTACTTACTTTTTTCGATATTTGATCATCAAGATGTTTCAAATGACAGAGTATACCTAAACATTTTTGTATGTGTGTTGTATACACACAAATGAACTTGTGATATTATACATCTCATAATGTGTAGTGTCGATTTAATAAAGATAGGGTCAGAAACCCCCATGAGAAGAGGTCTTGAACTTAGGAGAAGGGACCAAAAGGAAAAAAAAAAAGCTGGAAAGAAGCAGACTGTCCTGAGCTCTAGCAGTCTCTTGCAGTGGGAGGCAGTGAGCCAGAAACCTGAGCAGCAGAGCAGGTGTGTGCCTTCAAAAGAAAATAAACCCCAGAGGGAAAGAGGTAGACGCAGGCTGGATAGACCAGAACAGCTTTGTTAATCTTCCCAAACACAGACACCCCAAGTTGTAATAACCCTTCATTTTCTTCCCAAAGAACAGGCAAGTGCGAGCAAGACCTTTAGTCCACATTGCCAGGGAGCTATGCTGGTTGTCTGGGGCAGCACAGGGGCTGGGGGGCTGGGGGGCTGGAACTTGAGTGATAGGGGCTCTGGGATGGAGGGAAAAGAAGTGAAGCCAAAAGAAGTAAGAGTCGGTGAGGTGATCAGGGATGGAGTGGGAGCTGGAAGTGGGGAAAGTTTATGGTCAGAGGTACTAGAGATGCTGGTCAGAAAGAGGAGATTGGTGTTCACAACTTCAGAGGCGGAGTGTGTCTGAAGATGGACATATCCACAGAGGGGAGGGTCCTGGATGTGGGTGACTGAGGGTGAATAAAGGTTGTGAGTGCCGAAGGGACCAGGGGAAGGAGCCAGGGGGATGGATCACCCACATGGCTGTCAGAGGCTCAGGAAGATGGCAAGAGCTGAAGTGAGATGAGGCTGATGTTCTCAAAGCCAGTATCCTCCCAGGTGGATATCAGTGCATTCTGGGAGTTGATGACAGTCAGTCATGAGAAAGTTTCAGTAGTCAGAGTGGTGGCAGGCCATTAAGTCAAGAGGTATTAGGTGGATGGAGTTGGTTACTGTGGCTCAAGCACCACAGAAGGCGCTGACCCCTGGCTTCAGATGTGGAAGCCTGTGTCAGAGGAGGAATCTCAGTGAGAAGACTGGCAGTCGGGTCTTGGACACCAGGCTGTGGGCATGAGGCCTAGTGGTTTCCCAGACCTGTGCTTCTTGGAAATGGTCTATTCCTTTAGGTCTTAAACACACCAGATACCTTTTCCATGAAAGACTGAAGGCTATGTGGAGTCTCCTGGAACAGGGATCAGGTGTGAGGGAGCGTGGAATTGTACATTTTTTCCTCATAATGAAGAGGGAGCCCTGAATATCAGAGAAACCCTAGGAGATTAGTGACTGTTGAGTCCTGAGACATTTTAGCTTGAGGCAAAGATTAAGTAAACATTTATATGCCAAATATC